CCTGACCCCATCCTACTCATCTGTGCTCCTATAGCAATTTACACACACCTCTATTAATGGCTCTTAATATACTATATTGTTATCATTTTATGTCTTATCTAACTCTCTTAAAATTCTTGAAGGCTGTACCTAGATATTTACTACAGAAATTTTAAAACATATATACAAAACACAATAGTATCACAAGTAAATACAATAGTATCATGAACCTCCCCGCTATAACAATAAACTCAGACCAATTCTACTTCAACTGTACCCTCTATTCACTTCTCCCACCCACCACCCACCAATTATTTTGAACCAAATCCCAGGCTTCATATCATTTCATCTGTAAATAGTATACCTTTTAAATGTTTCTCTGAAAGATAAGACTCTTTACAAACATAACCATATTACTACCATTGTCATATTTAAATCTTTTAAGTCATAATTCCATATCATGACATATCCATTTCATCAATTGTCTTACAAACTTTAACTTTTCATTATTATTTAATCAAGGTCTAAATGAAGTCTATCATTATGACTGGTTAATACGTCTCCTAAATGTTTTAATCTCTAGATTTCCCCTCCATTTTTTTCCTACAATTTATTTTTTAAGAAACCAGGCCATTTGTCCTAAGAGTTTCGCACCACGAGAATTATGCTCATTGCATACCTTTGTTCCGCTGTCCCTGTATTTTCCATTAAATAGTGGTTAGACCTAAAGGCCTACCATATTCCAGTTTGGTTCTTTTTGGAAAAACTATTAATAGACTATTAATGGATATTTCCATCAGGAGATAAATTATGTCTGGTTGTCTTTCTTTTTGAGACATTAATAGCCCCTGATAATCAGTCTAGACTATAGATCCATTGATTCATTAGAAGCTGCAAAATTGTGATATGCTAATTCTATCACCCCTTCTTCATCTATTAGCTGAGATAAAATACCTTTTATAAAAGAGAAATTTCCACTGATCAAATATTTGATTACCTTGAGGAAAACATGATGTTTCATTCTTTCTCTTTATTTGTGGTTCTTAAAAGAATATGTCAATTCCCTACCATCCTTCCAAAATAACAGGTTTCTTTTTTTTTTTTTTGTATCATTATTGTGAACTCATGGATTTAAAGATTTTAGTCCATTGCCATATTATCCTTATTGGTAACTGGAATGTCTCATTGGTCAAGGGGGAGCCTCTTGTCTCCCTAGTCCTAATCTTTGATAGCCTTTTTAGTGTGACAAAGAATTCCAGGCTCATCTTGTACATTTTCTGCTTCCAACTTGGAATTAAATTCATGTCTTCAAAGAGGACCTAATTATTAATTATTCTTTAGCCTAACTTACATGTTCTATAAATGTTTTCCAAACTAAATAAGGCAAATTCTGAACAAAGTTCAATTCCTGAACTAATTATTTTAAATTTGAAAAATGTGTATCATACATGACAAATATACACGATCATTATTCCACTCTTATTAAAAGGAATAATTAAACTCCTTAACTACTCATCATTTAAGTTCTTGAATTCATTATGTACCAAAAGATGTATCAAAGCAACTCAACCAGTCTGCTTTGGTATTATAATAATAAAACTCTGCAATTCAAATCAGCTTGATGACATAGTCAAAACTGCTGCTGGGCTGAATTCCAAAAGCATAAAGACAGGGTGGGCTTCTTTACTGTGATCTTCCTTCACCACAAGAAATACAATTCAAGGATAACTCTAGGAAACTGTCTGAATAAAGCTTTAGTTGAGGTAAGCACTTTTAATTAAAGGTTGACATCTTTAATAAAAATGAGTGAACAGTGCTTGATTAAGTATCATGAATTTAAGTTAAACATTAACAATTTGTGACCTTAACTATTCATACTACCCAAAAGTCACTATTATAATAATAACAACATTGACATCTTTTCAAACAACACCCAAATCCGTGAGTGGAAAACACAAAACCCTCAACCTCAAAAATCACAACTAAAACAAAAATCACATTTAATCCTTTAGGCTTCCTAAGAATTTCCAAATTTCTGTTCTTAGTGGGAACCAAAAGAAGGTTTTCAAAGATATTTTTCAGTTGCTCTATTTGTAACTTTAAATTTTTTAGAAATACCAATACTTACTCAGGGTAATGCAACATAAGCAATCAGCAAGATGCTGTAGAACATATTTGACTGCTGAATTACAAAATTAATTGTTCGTTTGGGGTTTTTTTTTGTTTATTGTACAGTACAAAGGTCAAGATATAATGTAAACCTATCACAAAAGGTTATATAAATTCAGTTGTATAAAAATAACCACTTTCCGCACAGCAAAAGCCACCATAAAGTCATAAGACAAGAAACCAGTTTAAAAAATATATTATTCTTATTAAGAGGCTAATTTCCCTGATATAAAGTAAATTCAAATGAAAAGGAACAAGTCAACAACCCAAAAGAAAAACGGAAAGGATAAACTCTTCACAGAAAAGAACATGCAAAGTGTTCTTAAAAATATGAAAAGATGCTCAACTTCACTCATAAGAAGAAAAATACAAATTTAAACTCCCCTGAGATACCATATTTACTTATCAGGAGAGCAAAGATCAAACTATCTGAACAGACTTTAAATAAAAGCATGGAAAAAATGATTTTTATACATTGGGTACATGATGCATAGATGGAAATTAAACATTCTTCAAAATTAGGAATGCACGTATCTTTTAACCAAGCAATTCCACTTTTAGGAACTGATTCTACAAGTGTGTACACACATACACACACACACACACACACACACACACACATTTGAAATATACATATATATGCTTAATCATCACAGCATTGTATATTACAGCAAAGATTGGATATACATATATATGCTTAATCATCACAGCATTGTATATTACAGCAAAGATTGGAATGGGGATGTTCTGAATGGACCTAGATATTTACAGTTGAAGAAAAAGATGTGGAACGTCAAGTACAGTGTGCTACCACTTCTATAAAGAATATTTATATTAATATTTGCTTGTATATGCTAAACTGGAGGAACTAGCAAGCACCGATAACACCAGTGGCCTCTAAGGAGGGTGGGGTAGGGTAGCTGAAGGACACGGGTAGGAGAGGGCCCTTCGCTATAAATATTTTTGTTCCTTTCAAATATTAAGCCATGTGCTATGTTATCTATTCATAAGCAAATAATTAAGTTCTAAATATTTTTAAAGGCAAGAAGAAAAAAAAAAGATAGTCAATCATAATAGTGTGTACACACATGACCAAATCTGACATTAGGGATTATGGTTTATAGGTTGAAAAGCAGAAGGAAGCTGTCTCTCCTGTACATTAATTTTATTCGACCAATGCTTGGTTGGTTTTATTAGTCATGACACTCATTACTTCATTTAAATATTGTACAGAATTCATTCTTATCCTTAACTTAAACTGAGACATGTTCACTTTTCTAAGCCTATTAGGTTCTTTTTTTTTTTTAAATACCATGTATTTCTCTTTATTTTTTACTATTATTTTAAGAAAAATAGAATGCTCAGTTTAGTGAGTGCTAAAGGCTTAAGGTCAGAGATGCCCTTCATGTTCCAAATGTGTAAAATGAAAATTGGCATGCTGATAATACCAATAACAATTAAGGACTCCGCATTTCTAAAAAGAGAAAAACAGGATAAAACTAAGGTTATAAACCTCCAAGTGGCATGTGAATCCTTTACACAAGCCAAAGAAAAGGGGAAAATACAGCGAATAAACCTAGAAAAGTATATCCTTTTAAAGCTGAAAACACAACCAGCACTACAAAAAGCTGCATCTTTAATTCAGCTATGACTTCAGATATCACTAAATGATATTTCTGCTGATTATTTTTTAAAGTAATGCAAAATCAAATAACCTGTCCTATGTGCTTATAAAACAACTTCATTCTTACCAAACAACATCAAATCGTCAAATATCACAGCATCTGAAACTATCTTTTTTTTTTAATTGGCAATTAGAGCCTAGTTCCACAATTACCTTTTAAGTCCAACAAAATTATCCTAGAAATAATCAGGTGGAGAGTTCTGAGTGAACTCAAAAGCAAACACAGATGAATGAGTATTGTCATAAAACACATATAATCAATCATTTGGTAAATTTTGTGCAAAATTATAAAGGTCCGTTTTAATTACTCCGAATGGGCAACTGGACAGTTCGAGTATTACATCTAAGTTTGACTCAGGGACTTTTTAAATAACGTTCACTTTGTAATATGGAATTCTGATTATCCTGTCATTCTTCTAACTTGCCAAATTATCTAAATCCCAACATCTGTAGTCAGACCGTTCTCCTGCCAACGAGGCTTAAGCACACACACTGGGAGAGACCAGGCTGCAGAGCAACACCATGCCTGCGCCTCACAGGTGACACTTAGAGACCCACATGACAGCCCCCTTCCCAACTTCACCACCGACTCCAGGGTCACTAGCCATCGGGAGCTTTGTCTACAACTACCCCGGATTTCATCTACCTCCTTGGAAAACTTCCCCAGTGGCACAGCGACGTCCACCAGCCTCCGGGTCCCGGACCCACAGAAGGTCCGGAGTCCAGGCGGGGTGGCGCCGGGTCCACTGCCCCGTCCACCTAGACTGCGGGGCGCGAGTGCCTCGCCCGGCCCGCAGCCCCGGGGGTGCCCCCGGAGCCAGGCCCGACGGTGCCCGCGTGGGGAGCGGGGAGCTAGCCCCGGGAGGGGGGACGGATGGGGGTCTCCGCGGAAGGGCCTGGCGAGGCGGGTAAAACGCAGACACCCCGGACGGAGGAGGCGCCGGGGTTTCTTCCAGGGGTCCGGACACCTGAGGGTGAGGGGCGGAGCAGGGCCCAGTCGAGGCCCGGGAGAGGCGCCGGGGCAGCGGCGGGGAGGGTCCCCAGGGTCTCCGGGCCGGCGCGGAGCCCCGGCCTGAGGCAGGAGAAGTCGCCGGGGTCGGCCGAGGGAAAGCAGAGGGCAGAACTGCACTCCGCGGCTCGCGGGACGCTCCCGGGCCACGGGACTCACCGCGCTGGCGGCAGCCCCGGAGCCGGACGGCGCGGGGCCGGGCGCGTCCTGCCTCCTCAGGCGGGACTTGAGGCTCTTCATGACCACGCTCCGCAGTCCCGCTCCCGCCGGGCGCCGCGCGCCACCCCCGCGCGCGAACCTTAAAGGTGTGCGAGCTGCGGGCGCCAGAGGAGGTGGAGGGGGCGGTGCGAGCTCCGCGGGCCCCACCTGCCACCTGGGGGCTCCGGAGGACCCCGGGCCTGCCGCGGGGCTCTCCTGCCGCGGGGCTCCCCTCCCGCAGCCAATCCGCCGGCGGCCCTGGAGGCGGTGGGGCCGACGCAGGCCAATCGGAATCCGGGAAGGGGGAGGGACTTCCCTTTCAAACTTAATAACACCCTTCCTTTTCCCAGCGCGAGGAAAAACTGGGGCTTCAGCTGGCGCAGCGGCCACGCGGAGCGCAGCGAGAGCCTGGCTCCCCGCACGGGCGCCCGCCTGCCTGAGTGGTGGAGCCTCGGGTCTAGAAAGAGTATGGGAACCAGCATATGCCAGCCCTTGTCTTCCCGGACTCCTCGCCTCTTCCCACCCACGTGCTCTTTCGCCTGCTTCCAGAAAGGACTCCTGGTTACCTGCACGGACGCTGGCTTTTTAGGGCAACTTCTTTCCATCTGTCGATGTTTTCCTACACAAATCCCAGTACCGGGAAACCACTACACGCATCAAAACCGGCAGAAACAAACAACAGCCTCTAAGAAATAACGGTGCTGTTTGTACAGAAGAGAATACCGTGAAGAACAGACTTTGAACAGACAGTAAATCAAAGCACGTGTTACGTGCTCAACTATTACTTGTTGAGTGAAGAACCCACTGCTTTGGAGAGAAAGAGATGGAATGGGGAGAGTAGGGGGTGCCGTCAATAAAAGATAGTGACAAAGATAGTGGTAAAAAAGAAGAGCTACACCCCAAGCCGGCCCTTTGTGCTGTGCCAGAGACAAAAGACGAAATAAGGTCTAATTCTTTCTATATGGTCACATTCTGTTAAACGTTTTTGCTTTTGTACTTGATATGGATGTAGTATTTCAATGTAATTTACTTTATTTATACTCCCGCCCCGCCCCCCCAAAAAAAGAAAGAAAAAGAAACCTATTCTTTACCAAAAACGTTTGCTCTTGAGTTGAAATCCAGACTTTCAGTAATACTGTTTCACCTAAAAGTTTTTAAATTAATTTAGGTAGTAATGTATTTCTTGGTTCTCAGCTGTAATTGTCCCCCACACACAAATTGTTTCTTAACTATCATCTGTTAGATGTCTTTAACAGCAGTCATTGTTTACTTATCACAACTCTGAAATAGATAATCCAAGCCATTCATTCATTCATTCATTCAATCTATACATATTTTAAAGCAGTACTAGCCACTGCTAGTTATCAGGAACAATGATAAACACCGTATGTTCCCTTGCTTTCAAGAAGCTTACAATCTAGTGAATGAGATAAACAAGGAAACAGTAATACCACTAGAATACACAGAATTTGCTTCCGTTGCTAGGAGACCACATAGCCAAATACTTCAGTCTGAGGGGTTCCAAGAAGACCTGCTGGGAGGAGCGAAGTCTAATTTGATACTTTTCCTTACCAAAAAAAAAAAAAATGACCCAAATAGCCAAAGTGATATGAGAAGTTGTCAAAGAAAAAATATCACGGCCTTTAAAAAAAAAAATTGTTTCCTTGGAGATACACATTACAGGTGAAAAATATAGGATAAAATTAATTAGTTCATCCTACCCAGAAATCTGGATTAATGACATCACTTAAAGGAAAAATGAAAAAACAGGTAGGTGTGCAACACCCAATAATTTGCTGTTAACATGGTATCTTCAAAAGTCTTCCTCAGAGTCAGTATTTCCCAGCAAAATGTTTATTCTAGCATGCACCCATTTGAAAAGACAAACAGTTCATATTTCTGACTAACAAAAGATTCTTTCTATCTGAAATGTCAGTTGCTTTCTTTGGAGTTCCCTTAGAGTTATTCAGGGTTTTATTCTAATACTGTAAGAAAGTTTCCAGAATTCTCTTGAAAACACAGCATTCAAAGATTATATTAACCCTTAACAAAAAAGTAAATGACAATAAACTACCTGAGAAAATTATTAAATTTTCTCTTGATTAGTTCTGTGGAAGGCAATTTTCTTTGACGACTCCTTCCTCAAGACCCACAGCCATTCAGTTTCTGTTTCCTCTTTATATGAATTGTTAGCTGCCCTCTGTCCGCTCCTGCCCGGGCAGAATCAATATCTCAGACCTTGATATTATAGCTCTCCAACCGGTCACCTGACCTCCAATCTCACCTTCTATCACTAGTAAATTATCAACCATCATCAAAAGTCTTACAAAATATCCTTCCCTTGCTCCAAAACCTTCAGAAGCTAATGAATAAAATTTAATTCCTTTACTTGGTATTTAAGGCTCTCCAACAAGGACCCAACTCTGTTCTCCAGCAGGCACTCCAGGCAAATTACTCTGCAGCCCATTCCTCAAGCATGGGTCACGGCTTCCATTTTCCCTGTCTTCACACATGGTGATTCCCCCCTCCAGTAATTCCTGTCTACATTCATCTGATAAAATCCTAGCACCCCCAAGAATGACTGGAAGAAGGCACAGGGGGCTTGTGGAGTACTGTAGTGTTCTATCTGGCTATATAGCTAGTGTGTTCAGTCCGGGGAATTTCAGTTAGCCCCTAGTCTTTGCGATATGTACACCTTAATGTGTGTTATACTTAAGTAAAAAGTTTCATACATCCATTCCAAGTGCCCTCCTCTCTAACAGAGGCTGCTCTGATCACTCATCTGAAAGTTATCTATCTTTCCATCCTCCAAATTGTTAAATTGTACCTCTCAGGTGATACTAATACATATGTTATGAACAAGCATTGTTGCACTACTACTAGACTTCAAGCTCCTTAAAACCAGGGAGTAACTGATATGTTTGAATTCCCTAGAATGCTTAGCATGTCTTAGGTCCTCAATAAAAATTTTTGAATAGATTGATGCCTTCTTTTTGTTTATTAGAGTGAATTATGATTGTTTGTTCTGTATATATTCATGTAATACAGAATTGGTACTTCCCCTGTTGTGAATACTGGGTGTAACTTTTAGCATTCAAGTTCTCATAGCCCTGGTAACTGGCCTCTATTCATTTGTTACTGGGTAAAGCAAAGGAAACAGACAGAGCCACAAGTACAGCTTGCATCAGTTTCCAAAAATGTTGGGCAAGTTATTTTTATGAGCTGTCTGCATGATGTCCCCATGATGTCTGTGTACAGTGGCCTTTATGGATTTTTCCAGGCTAGAAACTTGATAGCCTATGTCTGCTTATTCCCATTTGAGAGCAGCTACGTAAACAGCACTGGTTTGGGTATGCACTAAGGCTTTTTTATATTAATCTGGAAGCCCCCAACATGAAGTAAAGTCACTATTATTAGCATTTAGCCAGACAGGTTTTATTTTGTTAAATATTATCACTGTTATTTATTTTTATCTTCCCTTCAGAGCAAAAGGCACTTAACAAACCTATATGGAATTTTATTTGTTACCATACTGAATCTGTATCATTTTGTTTCATTTGTTTTGCTTCTGTTTTATGATATATGATACCAGGAAGGGAAATGTATTAAAAATTATTTGATTAGGCTGTACATGCACAATGTAAAGAAATCTCAAAAAATACAAAATGTAAGTCTCCTTATCACCTCTATCCCTAGGCCCCTGCTGTCAAGGAACTTGTGTTCTGTGCTGGGGAATTAAGATAACATATACAACTGCTTACCAAGCTGTATAGTAGGATCGCAGATTTGGGTGATACTCGGGGAGGGAAAAGATCAGTCAATAAGTGTGCAAAACCAAAGGGTACTGGAGGCTGAGCAGAGCTTCAGTGAGTGCACAAAGGTGAAAAGGAATACCAGGGAGACAGAGGGTACCCCGGGGGCCGCCGGAGCAGGGCAGAGAGCACAGCTGGGAGGTGCTCACTGATAATGGTGGCATGATAACGGCAACAAGATGACAGGGACAATTCCTTAGAGAGAGAAGAATGAATCGACAGACAAAATCAAAACTTTATACATTAAACAATCTCTTTTCAAGAAGGAAGATCTCCTTCCAGGCAAACTTTCATTATGAATTCCAAGTCCAATGACTTCCTTCTTCATTTTCAGAGCTTCCTGAGTAGCCCCAGGGAATCTGGACAACAACGCCAGTCAATAATTCCATGGAGGGGCCCAGAACATCAATCATTCTCTCCCAGCTCAGAACCCAGAGCCACGTGTGACCACCGCGGTGGCAAGGAAGGGCCCTCAAAGGGCCCTCCCACCTCTCCCACCCCTCCTACCCGCGATTCACACAGCAGCCCCAGGAATGAGAACCCTGGGGCAGTTCTCACACCCTGTTCTCTTGCCACATTCAAAAGTAAAATACATTGCATAGAGAGCTTTTAAAAATAAATATGTCATCTTTGGCACTCATTTTGAGACCATCTGCATTTCTAGTAAGCTCTCCATTGATGCCAGCCTGGAACACTAGAGTGAGAAGGAGAGAAGTGGGAAGAACAAGGTAGCTTCTGCTCTGTACAACCAGACACTTGTGCAATGTTTCTTAGTTATTCAACACCAAAACTTTTAGGAATGCAAATTCCCTCTTACAGAAACTTCCTTAATCACTGGCACCGAGGGTTGCTTTCACTCTGCTATAGCCGTCTTAAGTCTGTCATTTTCTCCTGAAGGAGGCTTCTTTCCACCTCTCTCTCTGTCCTTGGCATATACAGACTGTCATGCACCTATGACACACCAAGTGTGCGATTAGCTTCGATTCTGAAAAAGGGAGCGAAAGAGCAGGGAGGGGCAGGCTAAGGAGCAAAACTAGATTCCCTGGCACAGCTGAGCTTACACCTAAAAGAAACGGAGATACCCGCAGTGATTTCTTTGAATTCAGACTTAAGGTCAAGAAGACCCAGTTTGTTTCATTTGAAAATTTGCAGATTAGCTTTTGTTATCAAGTCTTGATTATACAAAGCTCCAGAAATACCACTGGCTTCATTTTAATGAGATTAATGGCTCTGAGAGTGCATGGTTCAAAGGTAGAAGCTCTTCATTGCCTTTCAAAACAGGCTACTCATCCTGGAGCCCAGATAAATGCAAGGAATTTGATTCAGGGATCAGTAACCAACTGACACCATAGTAAATTTTCCTGGGCCTTGGAGTTTTCTTCTCTTGGCCAGGAA